CGAGAACTTAACTTTTCTGGTAACTGGTGCATAGACAGGAGTTGGAGAAGATGGGAATGGGCAGGTGGGCAGAGGCCGGACCCTGTGGGCTTTGTGGGCTGTGAGGAGCTTGGTCTCCATCTGGGGCAATGGCGAGCCTGTGGGAGGGTTTAGAGCAGGAAGGGGCATGCCAGATTTCTTTCGACAAAGATCCCTTTGGCTGCGTAGGTTAGGCCAGATTGGGAGGAAGGGAGAAGGCAACTGGAACTTTATTGTGGGAGCTAAGGACACAGGGCTGGATCTAGAGATTGGTGATATGGGGACTCCCCATTCGTACCACCTCTCACCCTCCTGGGTCCTAGAAGTCCCCTTCTCCTCTTTGTCCCACTGAGTCCAGAGAACAGAAAGATGTGATAGGCCTCTACCCTTTTCAAGGGAGACGCGTGACTCTCCAGATGTTAAGCACTCAGCCTGCATCTCTCTTTTGCCTTCTCCCTGGAACAAATGAATCCCTCCCACAGCTGAAATCATATCTTAACCCTCAGGACATGGGACTTTCCGATTACTCCTGGGTATCTCCAGACAGAGTGGTCTTTCTGGGCTCCCCCAGCTCTTGCCTGCCACATTCCTGTGTTGATCTGGTATCTACCGAGCACCTGGCACAGTTTGGGGAGCTGCAAACCTAATGGGGAAAATAACTGGGCCCTGGGCCAATGGACTGAGCACAGGCCTTTGAACCAAGTTGTTGCCAGTTCGATTCCCAGTCAGGGCATATGCCTGGGTTGCAGGCCAGGTCCCCGGTGGGGGTTGTGTGAGAGGCAACCCCACATTGATGTTTTACTCCCCCTCTTCCTCCCTGTTTTCCCCTCTCTCTAAAAATAAATAAATAAAATACTTAAAAAACAAAAAAAAGGAAGTTTTTGTTTCCTTCCTTCCAATCTAGGGGAAGTGAGGGACAGTGCACATGAAACTAGTCATCTAGGTGATTTCAGGTGATGTTAAGTGCTGAGAAAGAGATAAGAGTTCTAGAGGTAAGGGAGAGGGAGGGACTAGGAAGGGAGGGAAGTGCTCCAGAAGGAAGGAATTTTTGTGCTGAGACTGGAAAGAAGTGAAAGCAAACCATTGGATTTTATTTGCAGAGAGCATTTTGGGCAGAGGGAACAGCCAGTGCAAAGGCCTGGAGGTAGATGGTGACTGGCTGGTTCTGAGGAACAGCATAGAGGCTGGTGTGGCAAATAGCAGAGTGAGCAAGAGGACCATTTTGGCCACCAAGGAGTGTGGCTTTTGTCCTAAATAAATCGAGGAGGATTTTCAGCAGGGGGAGGTAAGATGTGATTCTGGTGTTTCCTGGAGGGAGAAAGCTCCAAAGATTGGTACAGTGGTTCAGGTGCCCTGGACCAGGTGGTGGCTGTGGAGATGGAGGGGAGGGGCAGGTCCAGGGACCAGGAGGATCTGCTTTGAACAAAGGTGCAATTGGGGAAACAGGTGTGGCTGTGGGCCAGGCCTGTGCCGGCCACCCCCTCTCTCACTGCAGACCCAAGAAGGGCCATGAAGGTGTTCCTCCTCACTGGGCTGGGAGCCCTGTTCTTCACCTACTACTGGGCTGACAACTTCGACCCAGGTGAGTGCCTGGAGTGGGACAGGGAGGAACCAGGCCAGCTGTCCTGTGCATCCCCTAGGCTGACCACCCCTGCTCACTGCCAGCTAGCCTCCAGGGAGCCCGGGTGCTGCTGACAGGGGCCAGTGCAGGCGTTGGGGAGGAGCTGGCATATCACTATGCCCGTCTGGGCTCCCACCTGGTGCTCACTGCCCACACCGAGGCTCTTCTGCAGAAGGTGAGACACGTATTTCAAGTTTAAATTGGGGGCAGGAGTTGGGTGGAAAATGGGGCCTGAGTTTGCATCCTTGCAAAGATCCAGGCTTCCTGTGTGAATTTGGGCAAGTTGCTTAACCTCCCTGAGCCCTAATTTCCTCATTTGCAAAATGGAGACAACAAAAGCATCTCCTTGTGGGTTATGGTATTGGGTAAATGCAGTGAGACAGAGTGTAAAGCAGGGAGTGTTTTTCAATAAATGCCACTGTTGGTAGTGTTCAAAGCGTGTCACAATACGGTTCTCAAACTCAAAAGGATGGTGGGTGGACAGACACTTCTTAGCAAGAGAATGTTCCAAGGAAATGTACAACTCTTAGAGACAGACCTTCCAGAATTTCAAGAGGGGCCAGAAACCTTGAGGTTTATTTGAAATCCTAAGTTTTAAATGTTGATAATTGAGCAAATATATTCTGGTCCACGGGCTGCCAGTTTGCAACCTTAGAGGTAAATCTTTGGGAATGGAACAAGAGGCTCAGAGTAGGGGGGAAGCCACCTGGGGTGGAGGGGCCCACGGGCAGCTCTGGCCCCCCAGGTGGTAGGGAACTGCCGGAAGCTGGGCGCTCCCAAGGTCTTCTTCATTGCTGCGGACATGGCCTCCCCTGAGGTGCCGGAGCGCGTGGTGCAGTTTGCGCTGGACAAGCTGGGTGAGGGGCGGGGCCTGGAGTCTGGGACCTTGGCCTAGGCCTTAGGGGCAGGACCAGAGTAGGTGTGGGAGTGTGGTAGTAACGGGTGTCTGTGGGAGGAGATTTATAAGGTGCTGAGGCAAAACTAGGGGTAAACCCTCGTTGCATCCAAGGGAGCACTTTGGATTAGGGACAAGCCTAGCTGGATCCAGGGAGCAAGGAGGGGTCTTTTTAACCTGGGGGGTAGGGGGTGCTACCTAGGGTGGAGCTGGTTGGGTCAATGCTCTGGGGAGAGTTTGCCAGTTTAAGGAATGGGGCTAGGAAAGGGTTTAGGGGGCGGAGCCTCAAGGACTGCCTCCTAGCTGATGAACCTCTCCTGGACAGGCGGGCTGGACTACCTCGTGCTGAACCACCTCGGTGCTGCCCCAGCAGGCACACGGGCGCTCAGTGCCCAGGGGACAAGCTGGCTCATGCAGGTCCTCTGCCCCTCCTATCCCCAGGTCCCACTTCTAAAGTTGCTAGGTTTCACCCTCTCTCGACTTTGGCACCTCACACCAGCCTGTACTCCAGCCCTCTCTCGCCAGCATCCACTCTCTCCCCATTCCTCCTCCATCCCTAGCCCCAGACTCCGCCCCTCCTGGTTCTAGGCTCCACCGTCTCTACGCCTTAGTTCCGCCCCTGGGCTTGAGCTCCAGCTCCTCCATCCAACACACTGCCCCAGTCCTCTGGCTTGCCTATCCCTAGCCAGACCCGCCCCCAGGTTTGTAGGTTCCACCCCTTGCCCCCACCTTCTTGGCTTGGGTTGTCTTCTGCGTCACTCGCAGTCACGGCCTCCAGGTGAACTTCTTGAGTTACGTGCAACTGACTTCGTTGGCGCTGCCCAGTCTGACGGACAGCAAGGGCTCCCTGGTGGTGGTGTCCTCGCTGCTCGGTGCGTGCACCTGGGGCGGGGAGCGGGGAGGCCACAGGCCTAATGCAGGGGAGCCTGGATGGAGCAGGAGGGTTTCCTCAAGATAGGGAAGCAGGGTGAGGCAGTTCAGCCACTGCCCTCCTGCACCCCCAGGCCGCGTGCCCACGTCCTTCTCTAGCCCCTATTCAGCGGCCAAGTTCGCACTGGACAGTTTCTTCGGCTCCCTGCGGCGGGAGCTGGATGTGCAGGATGTGAACGTGGCCATCACCATGTGTGTCCTGGGCCTCCAGGATCGTGCCTCAGCAGCCGAGGGAGTCAGGTAAGGCCGAGGACTCGAACTAGGGGTTGTGGGGAGCTACCCAACTGCAGTCCTCACCCCGTCCTCCTGTTCACAGGGGTGTCACAAGGGCCAAGTCAGCCCTGGGACCCAAGGCAGCCCTGGCTGTGATTCGCGGCAGTGCCACTCGCACCTCCTGCGTCTTCTACCCGTGGCGCTTCCATGTGCTCTGCCTGCTTCGTACCTGGCTGCCTCACCCAAAAGCCTGGTTCATCCGCCAGGAGCTCAATGTCACTGTCACTTCTGCTGCCTGAGATAGAAGTGGAGCTGCTTGGTGTTCTCAGAGGGGGACCCTTCATCCAGTGATCCTGAAGGCGGGACACAAACAGACACACCTCTGGGAGGGTGGCCACGGCTAAAGATACTGTCATCCAGACAAAAAGGGAAAAGCGAGAAAAACTGCTAGCACCTGGAAACAATGAAATCTGTCAGTGTGAGAGCGGCTACTGTGTACCAGTACCTTATGAGGGACTGGGAAGGTGCTACCTCAGTCTTTGTTGTCTTGTTGATGTGATCACTGCTTCCATTTCACAGGTGGGGAAGCTAAGGCTCAGAGAGGTGATGTGGCAAGTCAGCCCCAGGCCCTGGCCACTTCAAACAGGGCACACCAACTGCTGAGCCACCCTCAGAACCTTCTCTGTCTCCCACCTGGAACCACCTGATTTGTCCTTTCCATTCACTCAACCTGGGAGCATCACCCAACCCTTGTGTGCCCAGGCAAGGGAGAGCCACAAAGCTAGCTAGCTACTCAGTGGTGGGGTCCGAGGAGGAGGAGGAGGAAAAGAACTTGTTCTGCGCTGGACCCAGCCTCCCTTTTCATAATAAAAATCTTTTTTCTTTTGCACATCCATTGTTTAAATTTCTTGGTCCTTCCAATGTGCTGGCAGCAGGCTGGGAAGAGGGGATGTGCGTACTAGAACTCTCAACCCCATTTCACAGTTGCAGAAACAGGCCGGGAGAGGTGGACTCACCTAGGAATTCAGAGACAAAAGGGTACTGAGTGGGACCAAAGGCTTTATTTGCTGCACAAATTACATGGCTTGTGCACCAATAATGATAACATGCATCAGGCACTACACACTTAATGTTAGGATTGAAAGATAAAAAACAGAAAAAAAACTTTTTTTGTTTCCATCATGCCTCTCATCTCTGTACCATCTAAAATTAAATCAAATTATATCAGATGCCACCAGCAGGCAATATACTGCATCACTTTCCTCAGCCCTAACTCAGAACCTGGCCTCATATAAAATACCTTTATTTTAAAAAATTAAGTTTATCACTTTTGGCCTTTTGTATTAAATCAAGTGTAGTGTCTGTTCTTACCAGTTTAATATATGGTATGTCCTCCATCTGAGGACATATTAAATGGATTTTTGGAGCTGGGAGATGGAATAGGAGCTTGCTCCGTCCACTCTGCGCATTGACCCGGTATTGGAGTACTTATGGGAGTGGTGCACACACAAAAAAATTTAAAAAATAAAAATTTAAAAGTAAAAAAGTACTTATGAAAGTTTTATTTTGTGTCAGGCACCTTTACATCTTGTTCAAACGGTTTGGAATATGTCCTGTTATTGTCCTCACTTTAGAAATGGAGAAATTCAGATATTGGGAGGTGAAGTCCCTGGCGTCAGCTAGCGGCTGAGGTGGGATTTTACCCAGCAGAGGTGAGACTCGAACTTTCACACAACGGAATAGGGAGGCACCTCAGCCACAGGCACGCCCACAACTCCCGTCTCCTCCCTAGGGTCCTTGGAGGTAAACGCGCTTGCTCAGGGAGACCGCAGAGAATCCTCCAACCGACAGAGGGTGCTCGTGAGCGCTAATGCCTCTCTGGCCCGTACATCCCGCGAGGAATTGGTATTCCCAGAGTTCCGTGCGGTGTCTGCCTTTCCGCCGCGGCCCCATTGAGGAACAGCAGGTTAGTTGGTACCGGAGCAGCCTGGATCCGCCGCCATCCGGACCCTGGGAACCTTGGTGCTGCTCGGGGAGATGGCTGGGTGTAGCGAGCCACTGCGGGGGTGCCGGGCGGCGATGGCCTAGCCGGGGCTTACCTCTACATCCTCTCCCCACCCCTGTCCGCAGCCATGGCTCTCCGCTACCCCATGGCCGTGGGCCTCAACAAGGGCCACAAAGTGACAAAGAACGTGAGCAAGCCGAGGCACAGCCGCCGCCGTGGGGTGAGTTCGGGGGCACGAGCGTTGCGGCTTCTGGGAAGAAGGGGAAAGGGTCTTCCAGGCGGAGGGCACGGCCAAGGCTCCAGGCTACCGAGGACAGTGAGGAACCCTGTGGTGGGCAGAGCGAAAGAAAGGAGGTGTTAGGCTGGCCAGAGCAGTGAGTGAAATGTCGTAATTCGTCTCAGCGGCGAACGCCCACCTGGATCGTGCACCTGGACAGTACCGCCCGCGGGATGGAAGCTGGCGCAGGTGGAGCGAGTTTGGGTTACGTGCGTAGGAGTTTGCCCAGTGGAACAGGAGTTGGGTCGAGGTTGGAACGCAGAGGAAAGCTGATTTTTAGGCGGTCAGGATTTATGAGTTCCTGCTATGTAAAATGTCCAAACCTGCAGAGAATTTTCACGTTTATTTGAGCCAACCTGACAATTGCCCGGAAGCAAGATCTAAAAATTTTCCTGGAGGTGAATACGTTGCCACTTCTTTTAAGCGTTTCAAATTAAGGAGGGAATTTAAGGGAGAAAACAAGACTAGGTAAGATTACTTGTGCTTTCGAGGGTGGTCACACCTTCTAAGCATTTCAAAGATTTATTAAACTAGATGTACAAGATCAGTGATCAGGGTTGGCTCAGAAACCTTTCACCAAAGGAATTACAGGCCTGGATCCTGACTACCCACGACGACTTGCCCAGTGAAGAATTTATGGTTGGTTATGGCACCTTCATGAAGTAGCCCCAACACCAGGGTGGAAGCCTGTGTCCGATGGGGAAGAACTGCAGGCCCAGGGAACAGCCAGTGCAAAGGGCCAGGCATTAAGTGCCCTGATGACCCTGGGGGCATGGGGAGGAGTCCTGCTTCCATTGTACCACACTCAAAACGCTCCAGCTGGAGGCCCAGGCGTGACCCTAAGGGGTCTGGCCTTGGGGTTCTTCATCCTGATGGCCTCTCTTCACCCCCCAGCGCCTCACCAAGCACACCAAGTTCGTGCGGGACATGATCCGAGAGGTGTGTGGCTTTGCCCCCTATGAGCGGCGCGCCATGGAGCTGCTCAAGGTCTCTAAGGACAAGAGGGCCCTGAAGTTCATCAAGAAAAGGGTAGGTGGGCAGTTGGTGGGTGGGAACATACATCTGTGCCCCAGGGGTGAGAAGAGGGTGCTAGGGGCACGGGTGAAATGGGAGCCCAGGCTGATGGACCTCCTTGCGTGACAGGTGGGGACACACATCCGTGCCAAGAGGAAGAGAGAGGAGCTAAGCAACGTCCTTGCAGCCATGAGAAAGGCAGCAGCCAAGAAGGACTGAACCCCATACCCTCTGAGCAATAAAACCTGTTTGGAAATTTGGGGCTCTCGTGGTGGCATTTTACATCCTGTCTATTGTCCCAGACTTCCTCCGGGACCATGGTATTGGGGCATGGTGGTAGGCAGAGGGAAGCAACAGACAAGCAGTACTGGAAATTGTCTTTAATCACTGTTAAATAGTTCATATGCATCAGATTCCATGATTAAATCATAATTGAGGTCCTTGGGTTCCACGCCACTGCTGAGCCTCCAGGCGGCTTGACTGCCTGGGGCCCTCCCCTTCCGGCCCAGTTCCAGCTCAGGGTGGGCCGGCCTGGAAGGAGCGGCAGTGCCTGGGCCACCATTACCGCTCCACAGCCAGGGCCTCTGCCTGCTCCTCAGGGAAGGCGATGTCAAAGATCTGGCGGTAGTGGTCCACAAAGTGAACCTCCAGGCCTTCTGTGATGAAAGCCGCAAGGTCATAGAAGTCCTTCTTGTTTTCCGCTGGCAGGATGATGCACGTCACTCCAGCACGCTTGGCCTGGGGTATAGGGGACCATTAGGTCAGTCCGGGAAAGGGCAGTAGCCACTGTGCTCCAGGAGGGAGCAGGCTTGGTTGGGACCTTGTTCACAGTGGCCCTCAGCCAGGCTGCCCCTCACAGATGAGAGCATCGAGGCCCAAGGAAACTGCACTGGCGGCTGCTGCTGCAGAGTTCTGTCCCCTCAGCCCACCATGCATGGCTCTCCCCTGCCTCCCTGGTCCAACTCAATCACAGCACCTATTGCTTTACCCTTTCAGAGCTGAAATAAGACATGATTTTTAGTACCTAACATTTAAAATTTTTCTGGTTTAGTGACCATCCTGCCCAGTCTGTACAGTAGTCAGGGCAGTGGAGGCTCAGGAGACGTGGTGCTCCCATAGAAGCTGGACATGTGGGGATGAGGGGCCTGCCCGGGGCAGACAGGTTCCCCACATCCACCAGAGCCCTGCAACCTACACAACACCTGTGAGGCCAGCCTCTGGCATTTTCTGTACCCATGGATCTCAGTGCCAGGTTAAATGGGCAATGAGGAAGCTGTAGACCCCACTTCTACCCTCAAGGGGCCCACAGAGCCCCACTGAGTTGTTCAGATGGGGGCTCTTTATGGAAAGACCTAGAACATTCTCCCAAGTCTTGAAAGGCTGAGAACCATTGTGGAGGGAGCCATCTGGAACACTTCAATATGGGCTCAGGCCACCTAGCTCTGGGTCCAAATCCCACGCCTGCTCTCAAGTCGGCCACCACCCTTGTTTGTGGTGTGAATGCTGCCTTATCTGTCACGTGGCTGCGTGGTGTGCGCAAACGTATGCAGGAGCATGTTGGGGTGGGCAGCACTCACCGCAATGGTCTTCTCCTTGATGCCACCCACTGGCAGGATCTTGCCTGTGAGGGAGACCTCACCCGTCATGGCCAGGTTCTGCCGCACTGGCCTGTCCATGGCCAGTGAGAGCAGGGCTGTGACGATGGTGCAGCCAGCACTGGGGCCGTCCTTGGGGGTGGCGCCCTGGTGGTGGGGAGACCAGGTGGGTGGTGAGCAGGTCTGATGCAAGGATGCCCTTTCGAGGTGTACACTTGCAGGGGAGCAGGGGCTGCTCACCTCAGGCACATGCAAGTGGATGTGTGAAGTCACCAGGTACTCGTTGGTGGGGTCCTGCTGCATCAGGAAGGCCCTGGCGAAGGTATAGGCGATTCGGGCGCTCTCCTTCATCACCTCCCCCAGCTGGCCTGTCACCTCCAGGCTCCCGTCCTTGTCTGCCTTACTGTCCTCTCGAGGCCGCCTTGGGGACGTCTCAACAAACAGCGTGGAGCCCCCTGGAAGACACCAGTGTGTAGGGCCCATGAGCCACGGGACAGCTTGGACTCCCAGGAGAGCCCCTCCTTGATGCTGGGCCACCTCAGGGAGTGCCCCTCCATTCTGTCTGCAACTCTTAAAGATTTGGGAGCGAAAGGAAATATCAGTTTGGTGCATTCATTAGTAGATTCTTGTACGTGCCCTCACTGGGTTTCAAACCGGCAACCTTGGTGTATCAAGGTGACGCTCTAACCAACTGAACCACCTGGCCAAGGCTCTGCAAACCACCTTGCCCAACCCTCAGCTCAGCACCTTTTCTCATTCACACGTCAGTGCCCACCTAAAGGAACCAAAGACAGGTGGGAACCAAAGACAGCCACTGTGCCCTGGCCCTGTGTCATGCATCTCCAACACAGCCTGCCAGCGCCAGACAAATTCTGACACAATGGATTTTTTTTTTTAAAGATTTTATTTATTTATTTTTAGAGAGGAAAGGGAAGGAGAGAGAGAAAGAGAAATATCAATGTGCAGTTGCTGGGGGTTATGGCCTGCAACCCAGGCATGTACCTTGGCTGGGAATCGAACCTGCGACACTTTGATTCGCAGCCCTAGCTCAATCCACTGAGCTACACCACCCAGGGCACAATGGCTTTAAATGCAGCCCAAGTGAGCAAACTTTGCCATCCACAGCCCATTTCCTCTACAGACCACATAAAACTACTCCCAATGCCTGCCAGCCACTGACAGAACCAACTCTGGGCTATAAGACCCTGAATCCCCAGGCTGAGCAATGTCACCTACACACAGAAGTTCCCCTAACCCCTTCCCCTGCTGGGTGGCATCCTTGGGTCTCATGCTGTGAGGGACTCTCCCACACCAAGCTTGTCAAAGCATCACCTACATAAAGCTCATGGAGTACACCTGCCACCTTGCAGTCCCACCTCTCCAATAGCCCCACTTTCCTTGGCCTCAGCCAGCCAGCCAGAGGGGTGTTCAGAGCAACGAGCTAAAGGCTTAGGTACAGACTCTTCCCAGAGGACCAAGGAGGGAACGTGCAACACTCACCCATGGCGGTCCAGGCCAGCCCCATGACCACGCCAGGCGGCGTCACATCATACATGCGCTCCACAGTGAACACTGGCTTCCCCACAAAGTCCTGCAGGTTCTCGGGTGTCACCTCCACCGACTTGGCCTCACCACTGACAATCTTGTAAGCGGACTTCCTTAAGACCTGCAGCAGGTACAGGGGTTAACAGGCAGCCTGGCCACAGGCCCCCCCACCTCATCCCACCACCACCTCCGTCTGCTCTCTCTGCTTTAATTTTTAAATTGTGTAAAATGCACATGACATAAAGTACCATCATAACCACTTCGAAGCATGCAGCTCATATACTTGTGCAGCCACCCCCACAGTCCACCTGTAGAAATTCCTCAGCTTCTGAAACTGAAACGTGGTCCCCATCACACACTAACTCCCCAGCCACTGGCGCCCACCATTCTGCTTGTGTGTCTGCGAGTCTGACTCCTGGGGACCTCACATGACTGGGACCTGACAGCATCTGTCCTGTGTGTGGCTCACTTCAGTCACATCTGGGCTCACCTTCTCCACCTGCTTCTGCAGGTTGCGCACACCACTCTCCCGGCAGTACTGCTTGATGAGGAGGGTCAGCACTTCAGAAGACAGCTTGGCCTTGCTCTCATCCAGGCCACACAGGGCACGGGCTTGAGGCACCAGGTACCGCTGGCAGGGAAGAGAGCTGTCAGGAACCTCCCGGGACCCACCACACCCATGGGCTCCAGGGCCCACAACCCAGCCACAGATCCCTGGCTGGTAAAGACAGCACTGAGGTGGGCCCAGGGCCTGCCTTCACAGAGCTCCGGTCCCTGGGGAAGTTGGTATCATCCAATGTACACAGGGTATCAGGGCAGGCTGAAGGATGTCACCTGATGGGTGAGGAGCCAGCAAGGCTTGGAGGGATGGTGGCAGAGTATCTGGACAGAGCCTGGGGGTGCCAGGACCCTGAAAAACCTACTGACCCCCAGCCAGCCAACCCTGCTCCTGCTGCATCCTCTGCCTAGGTCCAATTCCTGTGTTCCCTTCAAATATCATCTTAGATGCCACTTCCTGCAGGAAAACCTCCCTGATCCCTGGGCTCCCCCCAGGTGCAAACCAAGAGCATGCATGTCAGGTTATGTGGCTGCTGCCCTGAGCAAACACGGAGCAGTCAGAGGCCTGCAGTCAACCCCTGTCCAACACAACACCTGATGGATGGCAGTCACTGGATGGACAGCCTGAGCTCTAAATGGGGGACAGAGCTGAATGACACTGGGGTTGGCCCTGGAGGCTCTAGGGGTCCTCATATCTGTCCTGTCATCCCTTCAGGGGTTTGAAGGCAGTCCTCCACTCAGGTGAGTCGTCATGAATGGAGGACAGATGTGGCGGGAAGTTCCAGCACGCCTGCCATCGCCTCAGCTACAAGCTCCTTGCCCCTCCTGCCCCCTGGGCCCCAAAGGCTGGGGCTCTGTGCCCATCTCAAGGCTGCAAAGGCATCGAGAGGGAGAAACCCCTTTCAGAAGGAAAACACTTCGATGGAAAGAAGACTCCCCTCTGTGCCTCACCCTGTGGCCGTTTTGGGGCGGTCTGCAAGGTGTATCCTTCAAACTAAACTAGTAAATAGCAACTAAACTGCTCTCCTGAGCTCTGTGAGCTGTTCTAGCAAACTACCAAACCTGAGGAGGAGGTATAAGAACCTCAGTTTATAGCCAGAGAGAGAGGTCGGGACTTTCAAGGGGCACCTGCAGCTGGGGCAGTTCTACGACGTGAGCCCTGAACCTGTGAGGTGTGCTGCTCACACTGGGTATGCCACCATCTCACGGAATGGAGGGTGCCCAGCCAGAGAGCTGGCTGGTGTGGGGAAGCACCCTGCACTGGTGTCAGAGGTGTAACATTACAGTTTACAACAGGCCTCACGTTCCTTTTGGCCACACCTCACAGTACCTACACCGCAGAGGGTCACATATTCATCCTCCGTCTCCTCCTGGAATGGGAGCTCCAAGAGCAGTCACTGTGGACTGTACCTCTAATTCTGACTAAGTGCCCAGCACTCAGTAGGCACTGACATTCCATGAGCCTGAGCCACAGTGCAGCACCCCCTTCCTAAGGCTTGAATGGACAGGGGGCCTGGCCTGGCCTCACCTCTGCAATGGCGAGCTTCTCCTGGGCCAC